AGATGTAGTTCCAGTTGACCAGTGAAAGTATATGTGATATTTAGAATTGCATTTATTAAAAATATGCTATTTTTCATATTTTAAAAATGCAGCACCAACTAAGAAATATGTATGCAAGTATGTATGTTTGTGTGGAGTCCTGGTTTGGAGGTGTGTGTTAATGCACTAGACTACAAAGTTGTTTTGAACCATAGGTCAGTGGTTTAAGATTTCCAGCTGCTTCTCAAAAACCCTAGAGAGGGTCACTATGACACAGAACCGACTTGACGGCACTTAACAGCAACAAACAAATGTGTGTTTGTATGCAGATAACGTGTATAGGTGTATACATGTGAGTGTATATATGGGTATTTGTAGATGTATGTATATGCCTGTATATATATACTTGCATATACATCCTCTCCTCACTTATCAACTATCTCATTAGCCAACATTTTGCCTTTACAATGATAGTAAACAATCTACTTTTTGTTTTAACAGTATACACATGGCAGTGACAAACACTGAGGTGTGAGGTCAGAGTACTGCTGGCTGTGGTGATGGTTATGTGTCAGCTCGGCTGGGCCACGCTTCTCACTGTTTAGGCAGTTTGGTAATGATGAAGCTATCCTTCAGTTTCACATAACAACCTGGTCTTTGAAACCTAATCATGTTGCTAAGTGAGCAGAGAGTATATGTTCGTATAAATAGTAAAGCACATGGGGACACAGTTACAGATGCAGAAAGACATAACCAAACACCTCATGAGGTTGGTTTTCTGGGTTTGAAGACTCAGGACCATAGTCTTGTGGGACCACTCAGTCAATTGGCATAATGTCATTCATAAATTTTACGTTCTACATCTTCTACATCTTAGTCTAGTGAATAGTGTCTTGTTAAAAGCTTTTGAGTGGCCGTCTAGCATGTAACTATTTGTCTCTATTGGTCTGGAACGAAAGATATATAGAGAAAAGGTTTAGAGAGAAACTAGTCAACAGGACCAACTGTATACCTGAACCATGTCTTATCTTCTCTCTGAGATCAGAAAAACTAGATGGTACCTGATTGCCAATGTAGAATTGGAGAAAAATGTGAAATCTCAAATTCTTAAAAATTCCCTAATTATTGGACCACTTGAAACCAGAGAACGCCTTAAGAATATTGATCTGAGATATCCTTTAAATTTTGAACTGAAATTATCCCTTGAGGTCACCTTTTAGCTAAATAACAGATCGATTCACAAAATAAAGAATATCACCCATGACTACTATGCTCCCTTAAAATATCATCTATATGAGATCAAACAGTCAACAGTTAACTTTTTAAAAAGAATGAAAAGGTGTAAGGGGCAGGGAATGTAGGTCACTGAGAACAGAGCAAGAAGAATGGAAGCAGTGAGAAGATTCCGGCATGGTAAAGAGTGTAACCAATGCCACGGAACAGTCTGTGTTGGTGTACGGGAACCTAACCTGCTGTGTAAACTTTTACTGAAAATAGTAAGGTAATATTTTTAAAAATGAATGAACTATCAACTGGATCCTATACAACTATCCTGTATTGTTGTGTGTCGTCCATTTGGTTCAACTCATAGCAACTCTGTATGGGGTTTTTGAGACTAAATCTTTAGGGTAGCAGAAAGCCTCATCTTTGTCCCTCATAGTGGCTGGTGACTTCAAACAGCTGACCTTGCTGTAGTGGCCCAATAGTAGCCCAGTGTGTAGCCCACTATGCCACCAGATCCTATACTAGAGGGAAACAGATACTATTTTCAGAGAACAGCATTATTGGGTCAATTGACAAATGGAATATGGCCAGTAGATTAGATGAAAAATACTGTATCAATGTTAAATTTACCAGTCAGTAACTGGGGGTATGTAGGAGAGTACCCTTTATGCTTGGGAAAAGTATTTAAGGCCCTTTACCCTTACATAGGAGTCCTGGTGTGGCACTGTGGGTTAACGCACCGGACTGCAAGGTCGGCGATTCAAGCTCACCAGCTGCTCCTCGGAAACCCTATGCAGGGTCGCTATAGGTCGGAACCGACTCAACAGCACATAACAACAACAAACCCTTAAAATAGGAGTCCTGGTGTGGCGCTGTAGGCTAACGTGCCAGACTACAAAGCCATTTGAACTGCAAGGTCAGCGGTTCAAGCTCACCAGGTGCTCCTCATAAACCCTATACAGGGT